AGGTAACCTAAATTATTTTCAATACGTATGATTATTTGGACGACGTGAATCTTTGGGTACTTTAATTACATATTTTTCAAATTCATAATTTGATTAAAAGTTCCTGTTTTAAAAGATTCATAATTACTAAAATTCGTGCTAAAATTTAAACACAACGCTTTCTTCGTGCTACAAAATCAATACATTTTATTTTATTTATTTAAAAACTGGAAAACAATTGTCTTGAAATTTACTAAATGTTTCACAATAGTTGGTTACATTTTTTCCGTAGGATAAGTCTGCCGCGTGCACACGTGGTGTGCAATCAGCATGTTAAGCGCTTTTATCACATTGTGATGAAATTCCCCAGTATGATACTCGCTGTATTTTGAAAACTGTTAATCTTACGCCTCTGTAATATACAACTTTTTTGTTCATTTATGATCTCATGCTACAGTAATGGCAGTCAAACTTCTTACACCCTGTATATTATAATACTGGACAGGGCTTTAGTCCGCAGAGTAGTTGTTGCTTACAATATCATTAACGGGATTTATATTTACTCGAATAATTGCTAACATACGCCATTTTCAGGCATGTATCCTTATGAATAATATACAACAATTAAGGGTGCAGTTAGAAAAAATGTTCGAGTCGATGGGAGGAGAAAAACTGGAAGAAGACGCAGCTAACATCCTGAAAGATTTGCAACAGACCCTAAACGGTTGCCTGGATGAACTGGCACAGCAATTTGCCTGCAGGTAAGCATCGCATCTTAATAATAGTTGAAAAAAATTAAGACAAAAGATGTTTCAATGTTTAGAATTAGTCTCATTAGGCAAATTATTTTTTAGGTTCATACTTTCGTGATTCATGCCGATATATTATAAAATCTAATCCAATTTATTAGAGATTTTTTTTTCAGTTTGGAGCCGAGAATAACGGTGAGCGTCAAAGAACTGGCCGATCTTCTGCTGGCTATAAAGGGAGGAGGGCAACCGGGCCAGCTCAACCAGCCTGCACAAAGAAATGCCGTAGCCGTAGAAGCGGACGAGGTCTTAAGGCCCCTTATGGACTTATTGGACGGATCCCTGTCCCTATACGCCCAATCCTGCGAGAAGACAGTACTGAAAAGGTTGCTGAAAGAACTGTGGAAGATCGTCATGAGGATACTGGAGAAAACAGTCGTATTGCCACCGATGACCGACAAGACGGTAAGGATGCAAGTGATTTTCATTGGACATATAATTGAGTTTGTATGTTTCCAGATGATGTTCAAGAGCTTAACGGACAACGCTAAGAATCTAGCGGCCAACACCAAGATAGAAGACATGTCCAGGCTCTTCAAGAACCACATGACAGGGAAGCAGGACGTGAAAAACGCCCTGAGCGGCGTGATGGACATATCGAAGGAAGTGGAGAAGAATCTGTCGCCCAAACAGTGCGCGGTGCTAGACGTGGCTCTAGACACGATCAAGCAGTACTTCCACGCCGGAGGAAACGGTCTGAAGAAAGCCTTCCTGGACAAAAGCCCGGAACTGCAGAGTTTGCGCTATGCCTTATCCCTTTACACTGAAACGACGGATGCGCTTATCAAGACATTTGTCAAATCCCAGATCAATGAAGGTAAGCAGCCGGTTCAATTTCTTGAGAAGAATCCCATGTGCGATAGTCTACGGGGTGAGTCGTTAGTGGTGAAAAGTTCAATGTCATTACGTGAGAACGATTTATTCGATTGCAGTTTCCTTTTTAAAGATATTGGAAAAATTAAATATAATGTATTCATTATTTTTCAAGAGAAAAAACAACTGAATATCGCATGAACATTATGTATTTTTCTATATCTTCAAAGAAAACGAAGTTACATTCGAATGCAACAATAATTTTGGATTATTTCAGGTACAAAGAAAATTCAAAAGTATATTTTAAAATTATTTCCCAATATACAGGGATATAAAAAAGAGTCATAGCCAAAGTTTTTTAAAATTCGCAGAAACCTCGGGATATTCATTATTATAAACAGAATGTTCTTCAATTTTTCAAATACGTAGCAGTGTCTTTTATAACTTCTTTATTCTTATCTTCCTCTTCTTCATCATGTTTCAGACCTCATTCTTGTTCTTGTTCTTACTCTTGCTCCCCATCTTATCCTTGCTCTAGTTCCAGTTCTAGTTTCTGCTCTGACTCTTGTTTTTGGTTTGGCTTGCCCTAGCGTTTCTTTCTTCATCATGTTTCTGGTCTTATTCTTGTCCTTTTCGTCAACTTGATCTTAATTTTGTTCTTGCTATCGATCTTCATCTTCTGGTTTTTGTTTTTGTTCTAGTTCTTGCATCGGTTCTTGTCTTTGTTCCTGTTTTCTTGCTCTAGCTGTTGCTCTTGTTCTTGTTCCTGGACTTATCTTGTTATTTCCGTGAACTTGATCTTGTTTGGTTCTGACTCTGATTTGAAAATGATTATAAATATTCACAAAATTTAAAGAATTTTCAGTATAATTTGGCAACGTTACAACCAAATTAAAACTATACCAGCATATGCTTCAAAACTAACTTTTTGACCACCACCCATATATCTTATCACTCAGTATACTAGAAAGTAAATTTAAAATACTTTTTTATTCACCTCTAACATCCTTTAAAAAAAATTTTTGTGTCTGAAATAATTTGAGAGTTATTGCATCTTTTCATGCTGTTGGCTCACTCTGTATGTATGTATACGGGGTGTCCGAAAATTCTATTCATCTATTTAGAGGAACGATTTTACATGTTAAAAAAATGGATTTAAATTACATGAACTTAGTTCTTAAAATTTTATATGGTCGTTCAAAAACAGCTGCTGAAAATAAATTCGAATTGAATTTTAACACAAATTGCTACCAACAAAACTGACTCTTTATATTATGGTCAACATTCAATTCAATTTTAAGGGGAGTTTTTCCTATAAAGTTTTTATCTAGGACGCTTATTTAAAAAGATACAGGATGTTAAACTTCAAAAAATATTTTTAATTTTTTTAAATACGTAATTTAGAAACTAGTAAGTGAAATAATTTGAAATTGAGCACATGTATTTATGTAAACATTGTCCAAAATCTGAGGACTTTTCCTAAAATTTTACACGCTCCAGTGGCGGAGATACAGGGTATCGGTGGCATATTTTTCTAAATAAAATAGTACGCCACTGCTTTATGGTAACAACTATGATATTTTCGGATTTGTCTTCCAATTTTCTACAAATGACTACTGTCTTATGTTTTCCGAAAAAAAGCCTGATTTTCGAGTATAACTTAAAAAACTAAATGAGAACACACTTCAATATTCGAATTTAATGATTTTTTAAATTAATAGTGGGCTGAGATAGCAACTTTACATTCTGGGCAGTTAGAAGAGAGAATAAATAATGCTTTTCATCAGATTCAAGCAACAATAAATTTCGAACAAATTACATTTTCGTTACTAAAAAATGTCGGGCCTGTGCTTGTGGAAATGGAGGTTTTTTGAGCATTTACTCAAATAAAATCATTAAAATGATGACTAATGTTATTAATTTCTTTATTCAAATAAATAACCGAATATTTAGTGCCTGTCATGTAATTTAAGTAAAAGTGTTTACAGTTGTTTTTTTTTAAGTTTTATTAGAAAAATCACATTTTTTTCCAAAAATATGAGTAGTAATTTGTAGAAAATTGAAACACGAATCTGAAAATCATGGTTGTTACCGTAAAGCAGTGGTGTACTATTTTATTTAGAAAAATATGCTACCGATACCCTGTATCTCCGCCACTGGAGCATGAAAATTTTAGGAAAAACCCTCTTATTTTGGACAATGTTTACATAAATACATGTGCCCAATTTCAAATTATTTCACTTACTAGTTTTTGAATTATTTAAAAAAAATAAAAATATTTTTTTAAGTTTACCATCCTGTATAAAAACCTTATAGGAAAGACTCCCCATAAAATTCACCAAAAATACGAGGTTTCATTTTTGGTCACCATTTGTGAATCACCCTGTATAATAAAAACCTTCGTTCACGTGTAGAAACATCCCTACATAAATGAAATTTCCGAACACCCTGTATCATAATCGGTTGTAAGTCTTGAAACGTATCAGGCCTGCAACTGATTCAAAACCTGATGACCGACTACCGCTTGAAACCAAACTGCTAATACATTCTTACACACATTTGCACACCTAATCTTACGAACTCTTCCTTATCAAAGTGCCGCTAAACAATAAAGAGACACTACTACAAAGGCAGATCTCGATACGAGACGATGAAACAGAATCCGGACTAGAAGCGTTAGAGGAGCCGTTGAAAGCTAAAAAGAGAAGGGAAAGCGAAAGTCGGCAAGGTAGAGAATTAATGCAAGATGACAGATTTCTGCTAGTTTCAATCATTTGCACCATTTTCGAGTATCCTCCAGTGAGGTTTAGATGCCTTTTTGAATAGTGTATAGTTCGAGGGCTGGTAGACATAGTTACATTTTAGTTTGGTTCTAGCTTAGGTATCAGTTTGAAGAAATCATTTTATTCTGAGTCAGCACTTGCGCAGATGGTCCTATATTCAGATATCGTACAAATATTCGTCAGTGAAGAGTTAGTTTAAGAGGGGGGTGACATTCACTATTTCACTTTTGGTTTTTACCCTATGTTCATTTTTTAGGGGTCAATAAGTGTTTATTCTATAAGTATTATTGATTTTAGCAATTTTATAGAAAAATTTGTATTAAAAATAACACAGCCACGCAAAATAAAGTTGTCTGTATTGTTGTCAGAATTCAGCTATCACATCACAGGAATTTCCTAACCTCAAAAACTGGTCAAAACCAGCAAAAATTCACGAAAATGTGCTAGGAAAAACAAAAATTTTTTTTTCTAAGTTCAAATGTTCATTTATATGGTTAAGACCCCGCCGAACGTGAATTCACGGTCAGAATTGATGGTTCTTTTTCTAATCTCAAAAAAAAAAACAGGTCAATTAAGATCAGATATCACGAATTTTCAAAAAATGAGATTGGCGCCAAATTTAGTATACGAGGGTTTTCGTGGTCGCTGATCACTGATCACGGATCAATTTTGCAAAATTCAAGATGGCGGATCCAAGATGGCCGACCAAATTTTCAAAAAATAACACATTCGCGCCAAATTTGGTATAAGGAGGTTTTCATGGTTGCTGATCATGGATCCGAGGTCAATTTTGCAAAATTCAAGATGGCGGATCTACGATGGCCGACCAAATTTTCAAAAAATAACACATTCTCGCCAAATTCGTCTTTAAAAATTTAATTAATGAGATCAGGCAGAAAACCCGTGAAGAGATCTTTTACAGAAAAAATAACGAGATATAACCGAAAAAAAGGAAGTTAAAACATGATTGGGTAAACAAAAATATTACAAAATAAATTTCTGACCTCGAATTCGTAATCGGCGACCCGAAAACCACCGTATAGCAAATTGGGTGCAAATCTGTTATTTTTTGAAAATTCGTGATATCTGACCTTAATTGACCCGTTTTTTAGGTTAGGTTAGAAAAAGAACCATCAACTCTGACCGCCTTATTCACGTTCGGTTTTTCGTGAATTTTTGATATTTTTGACCTGTTTTTTTGAGGTTAGGAAATTCCTGTAATGTGATAGCTCCATTCTGACACCGGATTCGTGATCAGGAGACAAAAATACTACAGATAACATATATGGCATGAAAGGTACAAACTTTTTTGTGTGTGGCTGTGTAATTGATATTTCAAGGAGTTCCTGTTTTATAAATACACCCTCTATATTTTTTATACATTTTAGATTTTCATTTAAAAATCGGGACCATATTGAACAAAGCAACACTTTGACATTACCTACTAGTGTTATTTTTTCAAATTAACTTTCCTTGAAACGACATAACGTCTACGATAAATTTAAAGAGAAAATTTCACTTTTTCATAAATTTTGAAACAGGCATTGTGAAAACATTTATTTATCTACATATCTAGATAAAGGAGATAAAATTTTGGAACTGACATGGCGCCTCATTAAATTTGACAAAAAAATACCTTTTGTGCTGTCTTTTTAAAACTAAATAACTTGTGCTTGTGTTTTATTGAATAGGGAATTACACAGGCAATTTAATTACAATAGAACGTTTGGTAGTTTTTCTTTGGCTGACTTGCAATAAACAACAAAAAAATATATAAATCTTATGCGCAATTATTTCACTAAATAAAACATATTTTTTATATGTATAGACAATCTCAAAATAAATTTGGAATTACATACAAAAAATAACTAATAATTAGGGCTGTCAGAACTGAGCCGCGAGACATAGGCGTACGAATTATTTATTAAAAAGCAACGAATTAAATTGTGTATAATACACCACCATAAACACCAACGGATAGGAATTAATTACGCAACATCCGCACGATAACAAAGGCAACAGTATACTAACGTGACATGAACGTGAAAAGCATTATGAGGCAGTGGCTCACGCATGTCTCCATGGACCCGCCTGGCACGTCATAGAATTGCGGTTCTCTCTGAAAGCCTTACTAATAATTTTTCTAACAAATTTATATCTTTTACCTGTATCTTTTTTTATTATATTACACTACGCTTGTTCACTTTTAGCGCTCGTCTCTTTCTTTTACAGCAATATTTCATTGTTCTAAATCATCTTAATTCACCTTAGAATATCATTATTTTGTAATGATTTTAGCAATTTCAACTTAAAGCTACTTACATTATTTTACCAATATACAGTATAAGACCATCCACCACCCCATATAAACATCACATACTATAATTTAAATGTTTTATTTTTTCTTACACCCTAAAAGAGCTGATGTTATCAATTGGGTGATATTTTAAAAATAACAAACATTTTTCAAATTATTAAAAAAAAAATGTGAAAAGATAACGATTGGTTTTCTCCCAATTTTATTTATTTTCTTCACTCCTTGTATTAAAAACTAAACTATCACAATTTCTTGAAAAGAGGTAAGTTTAGTTAAATCATCTCATCCCAAGAATGTGTGGTAGTTCAAAATACACTATTTCAAATGTTCTTAAGGTCACCTGTTTTTTAATTTTCATCCGTATTATCCTTACAATTTTCCAGGACATAATTATTTTTACCATTACTCACTACCATCATACAACTTTGTAACATATTTTTTTCTGCATGTAACCAATTCAAAATTTTAGCATGCACCTACCAGTTCTGAACATCTCGCTAGTAACAGCCTACTACTAATTATTTATTTACCCGCATACTTTTACATAATCTGTAAGTAATGTAAATTGTATATACCGAAGAGAAAGACATAGATATCGCATACATATTACACACACAACTTTAAACGTGTATTATACACATAATAAACGAAATAATATATGATTTGCAGACAGCCTCGACGGACAGGAAGGCAGCGTCGGAGAGGTTTCCATACAGGTAGACCTATTTACCCACCCGGGAACCGGAGAGCATAAAGTAACAGTAAAAGGTATGAGAACAAATGAAAAACAGGGCCAAACTAAATTTTTTGTGTATGATAATAACCCCTTGTCCCTAAAAAGATCGATTATTTATTATTTGTGTAAATTTTTTTCAGTGGTTGCTGCGAATGACTTGAAATGGAACCTGGTGTCGGGTATGTTCAGGCCTTTTGTAGAAGTAAACTTAATTGGACCACACTTGTCAGACAAAAAGAGGAAGCACGCAACCAAATCCAAGTCCAACAACTGGTCGCCAAAATATAATGAAACTTTCCATTTGTAAGTATTCGTCATCCTTTGATACTATTTTTATGAGATGTTAATCGAATATCACACCCCCAGAAAAGATTTAAAAGTACTCATACATCATTGTTGAATATTATGGCAATCACTTTCAAACTACTCTTGGTGGGCAAGTGTGTACGGATACAAACAAAGCTTTAATTGTACCACCATAGATGGCTCTGTTATAGGTCATTTATTTATTAGTAAAAACTTCCTCACGGTCAGTATCGTGCGTGTACATAAGCTGCATTGTTGCAATACCACAATCTTGAGTTGTTGGATCCATTTTCAGTACTTCCAGGTTACTATTTAGAAATTCCAAATAGACTGTGGAAAAATAAGACGAAAAAATGTTACCTTCCATCGTGAAAATTGGTTTTATTTTAATATTTTTTTGTATCGCGTGTAAGCTCTCAACATCGATAAGTGTGTTTATACAACTGAGTTCGGGTGCTGCCTAGTGACGGTGTAGACAAGAGTTTAACTGCACATTAAAAAAAATTACTGGATTATTCAATTGATATAAAAAAGTCTGGATTTCAAAAGAGTTTACTATTCAATTCTCGAAAGGGAGTTTATAATTATCATTAACAAAAATACTACAGATAACATATATGGCATGAAAGGTACAAACTTTTTTGTGTGTGGCTGTGTAATTGATATTTCAAGGAGTTCCTGTTTTATANAATCACTTTCAAACTACTCTTGGTGGGCAAGTGTGTACGGATACAAACAAAGCTTTAATTGTACCACCATAGATGGCTCTGTTATAGGTCATTTATTTATTAGTAAAAACTTCCTCACGGTCAGTATCGTGCGTGTACATAAGCTGCATTGTTGCAATACCACAATCTTGAGTTGTTGGATCCATTTTCAGTACTTCCAGGTTACTAGTTAGAAATACCAAATAGACTGTGGAAAAATAAGACGAAAAAATGTTACCTTCCATCGTGAAAATTGGTTTTGTTTTAATCTTTTTTTGTATCGCGTGTAAGCTCTCAACATCGATAAGTGTGTTTATACAACTGAGTTCGGGCTCTGCCTAGTGACGGTGTAGACAAGAGTTTAACTGCACATTAAAAAAAATACTGGATTATTCAATTGATATAAAAAAGAGTCTGGATTTCAAAAGAGTTTACTATTCAATTCTCGAAAGGGAGTTTATAATTATCATTATACTTTAATTAATATGTGGGACTTTAGAAATGTTGTGAAACCCAAGGAAGAACTGCCTGCTTTTCGGATCTCTCCTGAATTCGACACCTCGCTTCGACACGCCCATTTCTTGGGTCCAGTTTCTGTTCTTATCTTATTGGCGGAACCCTGAATATCGGGACGCTTTAGCATAACTATGCCATGTTAATAATTACCTAATTGACTGGACTTACATTTATACAAATAATTTTGTGACTAATTAATCCTAACCTTCCTCTAGTGACTCCGTGTAGTAATACGGGACGGATTAGTCAATCTCACTTAATATATTCTTAATAGCTTGGAAAATCCGCCTAAAAACCAGCTATTTAATCTATTACTTTCCTTTCCAATTATTATCAATTTAACAATTTGATTTAATTCTAATTTGGAACCTCTACGCTCATCTCATGGTTTCGCGCGTTATTAAAAATATGAGTTTCTTTGTTCTGTCCCAGCATAGGCTGGCGCCTCCCGGACGCGACAAATGACTGTCACATGGCCCCGATGGTCTAAGTGAACTTGTTCAAAAATATTCCTAAATTTCTCCGAAGGACGACGCTAAACCTACTTGAGAGCCCTTAACTTTCGATAATTTTAGAACTAACAAATAAATTACTATGCGTCCCGGCTTTTGTTAGGAAATTTACCCCTACTTAAAGTAACCCTATCTATATTCAGTACACTCATATGTAGTACTTTTATCGAACTTTATTATTAGACCTCATGTGTTAACAGATACTTGCTTTCAGCATTATTGGGAATGAGGAGCAACTGGATTCTTTCGAGCTACACATTTGTGTAAAAGATTTCTGTCTCGTTAGAGAAAATCGACTGGTTGGTGTGGCCGTTATGCAACTGAAGGATATCGTAGATAAAGTAAGTAATAAAATAACAAAATAAGTCCAGGTTTACAAGCGATAAATATTCTAATTCGTGTGTTCAGGGTTCGTGCGCTTGTTGGCTGTCTCTAGGGAAGCGGATCCAGATGGACGAAACAGGGTGGACGATACTGCGCATTCTGTCCCAACGCACAAACGACGAAGTGGCAAAGGAGTTTGTAAAGTTGAAGTCTGACATAAGACAGGAGAACCCACTTCCAAACCAGTAAGGTGTAAAAATCTGTCTCCCCATCATTGATCAGTGAATAAAACAAACAAGTGTGTTCATATTCATCTCAAGCAGTGTATAAAATTTGTTATATGGACCGTCCTAACTGACTGATGACGTAAAGAAGATTACATCACTACACTTTAATAATATATGTGCCTCCTGACCCGAACTTTCAACAATAAATTTACCGACATAAATTAACTACATAACTTTGTCTATCACAAGCATATGAAAACTTTATAAAAACGCAATAAAAAAGCATCATTCTTACATTCCATGTATTTGTACTTAAAATGTGATTCAACTAGTATAAGAAATTTATTAAGTAATAAATATCATAGATATTTTTTTATGCATGAGGGGTTTTAGATCGCGGAACCATGTCAGGCATGTTTTCGTCATTTAATTCGTTCTCTTCTTCTTTATGCACAACAATGATACGTTTGTGTTATATGTGAAAAACAAACTTTATATATATACGCTGAAAGTCTACTAAGAATATCTAAAATTGAGCCTTATATATTTTATTCATGCATCTCACTAAAACTTCTCGCTTTAAAATGAGTGTGGATTACCTATTTCTGCATCGCATCTTTCACTGTGATATTCAAGTACAGTGTGTATTGTGTCGTCTGTGTTGTACTACATGTGCCGAAATGCCAGATATACCTACTTGCAGCATTCTTTCTACTCATTTTGGACATCTATTCATCCGCAACGAGGCTCAGGAAATTTAGAAATAAAAAAAAATTGAGGCTCTATTCATACGAAAATTAATAATTTGATCACAGGTTGCTGTCGTTAAGTAGGACTATTAGGTCGCAATAAATTGCCGAAATATTACTCCTTTTCCTTTTACATGGTTTGAAAAATTAAATTCCAGTTTTGTCAATACTTCAAGAACAATGGTGAAGTTGAAAGTTTCCATAGATGCTCACCGATAGAGAGAGAGAGAGAAAAACTCGCTTCTTGCTTGTGGAGGACACAGTCCGGCTAATAAGTTTTAAGACTTGATTTTATTGTGGCGAAGTGAGTGGCGCTATCTATGTGTGGTCAACGGAAATACCTAGTACGAAACCTTCCGAGTGGCCAAACAAAATTTCATCAATATACGTGTTATCTACCACGATATTATAACTTTTTGCATGAAGTGAGTTTTTGACAGTTGTCATGAAGCATACATTTGACAGAGTACAGCAATCAAGGAATCAAGTTCTATTTTAAAACCGGTAAAACAGCCACAGAAACGTATCCACTGTTACAATTGGCGCATGATGAGTGTGTATCACATCCGACTGTCTTCCTATGGTTTTAGAGCTTTCGAGACAGCGTGCACGATGATCAAATTTCAACGTAGAGCACACAGCTTCGATGTTTTCGTCCATTCGAAATAGTGCGGGGATTCCCCATCCTCTCGTCATTGTGCATGCTATCTCGGCAACAGAACCACAGAACACAATCGGATGTGATACACATTCCTCACCGTACGTTTTGTAACAGTTAATACATTTCCGTGACTGTTTTACCAGCTTTAAACCAGAACTTGATTGCTGTACGCTGTTCAATATGCGTTTCCACGACAACCATCAAAAACTCGCTTCTGGAAAATATTATAACTTCATGGTAGATGAAATTTTGTTCAGTCGCTCACAAGGTTCCCCATTCCGTAGTTCCGTTGACTGTACACAGATGGCGACACACACTTCGCCACAGTAAAATCAGTCTTAATAGCCGCACTGTCTATACATGACCTGCTAAACTAAGAATAGAACAAATGTTTCAGAGTAAGCTAAACAGAAAAAGGAACATTTATTTCACTATTGAGATACTTTGAATATTTGACACCTTTACTACAGAAGCAAGTTTTCATTGTTTTTAGTAGTAATGGGCATTATAGAATAATTCGGCTGGATCAAATAATTAGTACTATTGAATAAATTTATTCGAATAAATTCATTTGACGAAATGTATAGCGAATGTGGGAACTATGAAATACCATGTTTATTTTTAGAAAGAAAAGATGATTTATCGTCTCATCTACTAACATCAACGATTGACCACGACTATCGACAAACCGGTAGTTTGTTAAACATTATTGTTTTCACTTGAACAATTTTTGGACTATAGAATAATTCTTACTATCGAATATTTCGATAGTTTTTATTTGATAGTGCCCATCACCAAGTTTTAATGTAGGTTTTGTATATAATAAGTAAAAGGTTTTGATCTGCCAGTGGAAGTAGTGTTTTTGAATTTTTATACTGAAAATCTTACCTATTGAAATTTTCAACTTGTAAAATAAAATAAATTTGTAAATTTAATTTAAATTTTGATATCTCAGGTGGGCTAAAATAGACGTGTCGAACTCGATTTTCAAAGAAAATTGAACAGCAGAAACCGCATCTCAATTCATTTAAGTAATCTTTCAAGATTTTCTGTGACGTTACTAGATTTTCTCATTTATGATTTTTGAATTTTTGAACAGACGACTTTTCGTCATATGGCATGCAATATTTCTCTGTAACTTCCATTATTTCAATTATTACCCAAAAAATGCAATATTTTAAGAAACACTACATATTATAAAGTAATTCAAAAAATTAAAGGGTCAAAAGAATTTCCGAAATTTGTCCGTGATATTTGACAGACTGTATTTAGGTGAAAAATGGTCGTATCGGGAATTAAAAAAAAGCATCTGTAAGATTCTAGTTTTTAGATCTTTCGGTCGATATTTTTTAGGAGCTACAGTTATCATGCAATTCTAAGAAATAGCGCGACAAAAGAATTTTGCAAATTTTTTTTTCTGAGTCCACGGACTTGGAAAACATTTTTTCAACTAAGTCATTGCAAGGACCAGATAGCTTGTTTATTCAGCTTCAATTTCCTTTATTTAAATTTCGATACGACCATTTTTCATCGAAATATCGGACTTCTAATTTTCAAAAAATTTTTGAAAAAATTTTCGAAATTCAACTGTTTCATGATGCAGTCAAGTATCCATGGACATATCTGATATACACATGATAAAAACTCATGGCATACTGGACTGCATCACAAAACAATTGAATAAAAAAATATTTTTGGCGTTAATGTCATAATACATTTAAGACGGAAACAATCGTTTCCGTCTTAAAACACAAATTTCAGATTAGAAAAATATGAGGAAAAACCATAATCTGTAGAAAAATATTGCCTACGCCACTTGATTTTAGCAAAAAACTAAATAAGTTGTATTATAAATACAAAATAGTTCATAAATAAAACAATTTGAATATTAAAAATGAAAAACGCCATGTATTTCTTAAATGAATTAAGATATAGTATGCAGTTTCCGCCGTTCAATTTTTGTCTGTACATTGACAAGGGGAAGTATTTTTTTATTACGGCATATTTGGCTCAATCGACATATTTCGACCTCATGAATCTTCCATCGAGCTGTGTCCCACTCTTAATGCAACACCCTGTGGAATCCAATTTAAAAATATTGACCTCCAATTATTAGTTTCTTAGTTACTTCTGTAGATGCCATTGTGAAAAAATTGTCGTTCTGATTTCCTGAGCCGGACGCTAGTATAGTAACATCATGAACAACTTGACAATATTAATTAACTAACATCACTTAAAAATTATTACTTATAATTACTTAATAATTTTTATATCCTTACTCTACAGTATGAGGGCAAAAATGTCAAAAAAAAATATCGCATTGTCTGTCTAGATGTAAGTCATGTAAGTCATAGTTGATTGGATAATGTTGAGAACTGATTAGGTAAATAATTAAAATTCAATTTCATCTCTGTCAATCATGATCTTCCATAAGACGAAGAATGCTTATTACCACAAGTACATGATTTAATCCTTTACAAAATTATAATTGCAATTTCCCTTCAATATGTTTTTCTTTATATCTTCACACCTACATATTAGGTAATTTTTTATTCAAAACGACATTTTCTGATCTCATATTTGGCATCGTCATTTAGAAACAGGACTGGGTATGTAAAATGACGAATGAATAAGGATTAAATATGGCAAACGTGGTGGTTCTGTTTCATTTCTACACAATGAACAGAAACACTGAGAAATTTCCGAAAATTTATTATCGACAATTATTTCATAAAAATAAAGTGCAGCTGGGAACATATATTATTTTTCGCAATATACAGCGTGATGCAAAAATATCATTTTTAAATATCTCTTTTGACATATCCACCTTATTTGTCACTACAATATCATTCGTTCATAGCTGTGGTCACGTAAAAAAGGAAAAATAAATAAGTTTTATTTAATATTTCTAATTAATTTATTTCTAATTAAAGGGAACTTAACACATTTTTTAATTGCTGTTATTGTCAGTGTGATTTTAATTATATTTGCTTTCAAAAAATGAACTTATACTTATTTGATATTTATTCCAATTAATTTTTTAAATACCCAGATATTTCAATCAATTAAAGATTAACATCGTTAGATAGAAAAAATATTTTTTATTAAAAATAATGTGCAATGCGCATAAAGAGTGTTCTGTTTAAGGACCAGCCATTATTTTGTTTATTTTTAAAAAATATGCCAACATTATTATCCAGCTCAAATGAGTATAAAATTTTTATAGTACAAAATTATAGTTTCCTAGTTCCCTGATGTTATTTGAGTAATATTTAACTGATTTGTTAGAAGGCGATCTGAAAAATATATTTTTTTTAGATTTAACTGAAAAAACTGCAATTTTAACTCAGCAGTAGCTTTTTGTATTGATTTTCAATTTTATTCAGATGGGTCACAAACAAAGAGAGCAATCTCCACAAATTATGTATTATTGCTCAACTGATAAATAAGAAATATAATTTTGCCAAAAACTAAATTCCATCTTGAGAAATATGTTATAGTAGGTATCTAAACACTAATTTTTAATTATTTGAAACACATAGTATATTGATTTAAAAAAAAAAGTAAATTTCTATTTCAAATCATGCAGAGTAAAGGACCTTGGAATTATTTTATGAATAAAGTCCCTGTACTTGTCACATTTTTTTTGCAAAATAGAAAATAGTTGTTGTTAGCCATTGAATTGTAATCCAATAAAAAAAAGTTCATTAAAATAGTTAATGAATAAAAAATTTATGGGATTGCACAAAATCTAACCTCCAGAATTTTTACGTTAAGGACTGATTGCACCAACACTATTTACATCTTAAGCTCGGCTTAAGTTAAAAATTAATTCATCATAAGTATCAAAGATGTTTTAAATACTATTTCGGGATCTAAAAAATTATTTATAAACTTTCTAGTACAATTTCCTGGACTCCAAAGTTTTGTTCAAAACGTAAAATTTTCATGCAAGCCCATACTAGTCACTATCCATATACAGACTGTTACAAATTTGCTTCTCACTACAGGGATCTCGGAAACGGTAAGAGATACGAAGTAACGTAAACAGGGGCAAAGTTGTATAATCAGGGGATCAGCATTATGCCTCTAACAAATCAGAGCTAACATGATTAATTTTTGAAATATTTGAAAAAAACCGAAATTTTAGAAATCCGTCTTTGTTTCATTTCAGCCTTGATTGAGGTGATATTGACAAAAGAAGAGTACTTTCTCATGGCAACTTTTTGCCCTCTATCGAATGTCATAAGGCATAATCAATTTTTGTATGTAACGTTTCGTCTCTCCAGGACCATCATCAACTTCATTTTTTTTTTAAATAAGACCCTAGAAATTTTATTACATTTTTTGCAAGCCTTCATGACCCTTAATTTTTTATTTTAATGCGTGGTGGTAATAGTTTAAATAACTTGATGGATTTTACAGGGTTTAACGACACTTAACAGTGTACCATAATTCAATAAACAAAGAAATCTAAATAAAAAATTTAGATAAATTTGGTATGTCTGAATCTAGTTCGGGCTGAGGCAGTACAGTATTGAGGGTTAAGAAGGCTTGCAAAAAATGTAATAAAATATCCAGGGTCGTATTTAAAAAAATGAAGTTGATGATGGTCCTGGAGAGACGAAATGTTACATATAGAAATTGATTATGCCATTCTATAGAGGGCAAAAAGTTGCCATAAGAAAATGTTCTTCTTTTTTCAATGTCACCCCAAACAAGGCTGAAATGAAACAAAATCGAATTTACAACATTTCGTTTTTTTCATGTTAGCTTTGATTTTTTAGAAGCATAATGTTGGTCCCCTGATTACGCAACTTTGCTCCCATTTAAGCTACTTCGTATCTCTTACTGTTCCCGAGATCCCTGTAGTGAGAAGTGAATTTGTAACAGCCTGTATATCATAGAGATCAATGGCAAAAGCTCAGTAGGTATGTCAAAAGATTTAAAAATAAAAATTGCTCTAAGTACTTCGGGCATTTTCCGAAATTTTTTATGAAATAATGAATTAATTCCAAATTATGTATCTTTATGGTTGGGTTTGGAAAATCGATAAACAAATCCCGAGGTGTTTAATTAGTAAATGAAATATGACTTAACCGTGATGTAATTTATTCTGTGGATTGTGTAAAATTACCTTACAATCTATTATTAACAGGGATAGATTCAGGCAGCTGATAAAATGTTTATTGTTTTATCAGTACATCATTAATATTTTACAATAAAATTTTGTGGATCGCATCTATTCTTGATAGTTCCATCTAATAATATACACAGTGAACGATTAATTTTTTTTTTAAAACGTAACTGCGATATTTAATCTGATGATTGTTTAAATTTAAAAAAAAAATTTCGCAGTGTGGAATGGATTTTGAGTGAGTCTAAATGCCTCTGGGGTTGCTGAGCAATTCATCCTATAGTTTGAATCGTACAAAACGTTATGTATATTACCTGTACATGAATTACACATTTAAACATTTCCTAGATTGTACTTCATTGATACTTCTACATTAACGTAATTATTAGGTTAAAAATATGTATTTTTTAATTTTATATGATTTTTTTCACAAAAATGACCAAGCATGTAACGATATGTATAATCATAAACGTAATATATGTATAAATAAAGTATGTTAATACGTAACTGTAAATTATAAACTAAAAGAAATGTCCTGATAATTTTAGGGACTTTTATTGAAATTGTATTCTTGTTAAACAATCGTCCGATCTTTTTTCAGATTGGACGGTTTTCACTGTAAATACATTGCTGTAAAAATTATCAAATCATTTATTAAACATTTTCAGAATATTATTGAAATGGACCATAGATATTTAAAAATTCTAATAAAATATTCGTAGCCTACAAAAATGGGTAGATGGTAATAAATTTTTGTAGGCTACTACATGTTGGTTTGTTAAAGGGGGTGCTCTTTTTAACATTATTTTGTTTGTCATTAAGTCATTATATATACATTGGAAAGCCTCACAATAAATATCTTTTACGTTTTCTTGTTTATTTATTTCCACATCCTAACCAGATCAACAGACGGACATGAGTTAGCACAGTTGCAGAATTTTATAGAAAATTAATTACAGGCAATAGATGATAGATAATTTTACCCAGAATCAGTAAAAGGAGCAAAATATTTAAAAATTTCAGGTTTAGTTTTATATCTTCGAAACAATATTCAACTGTTCGGACTGTTCCTCTAAGACTCTAAGTATTGCTTTGAAATCGAAAGAAAATGCTCTAAGGCTTTAGTTGTAACTGAGAAACTTTACTTATTGTAGAAAATAAAGTAACCTATTTCAAGTGTATTACTTGCAGACTGAGAATAAGATGAACGCAAACTTATTTATAACTTTAGTTAAAAAAAACAGTTTAACATTGTTAAGATTTAGCGTTTGAATCAATGTAAAAAAATACATAGGTTATAGGTACTCACGCTCTTCACGGAGTTGTCTGGACGATAATAATCTTGGATGGACAGGCACCTAAAATATTTTAACTGTTTTAATTGACAAGGGCAAAACGAAATACAAATTTAATAAACATCCTTAAATGCAAGATTAATAAAAATTAATTTTAATTCTGACCTTAAGTTTTATAAAGATTTTCGTCCATTTAGATTGATTCTGGGGGACACTTCAACTATTGTTAAAGTTAAAACACAATAAAACAACTTACAAAAACACTTTTTTGTTTTTCTATGCAAAAAATCAAGGAACATGGAATGCTAAATTGCTAAAAAACCAGTACAGAGTACACTCTAATAAACAGAGTATGCAATTCATTATACACGTTGGCGTATAATGAATGGCCTATGCACTAAAATTTTTATTACTGCTAGTGTAAATTGATACACTGAAGAAATTCTAACATATTTTCTAGTTATTTGGCTCGAATTTGACAGACACTAAATGAATAATGTTTAGTTTTATTATTATAAAACTATGTTACATGTTACATACATAGACAAGTTACATATTTGAATTCCAAAGCCTTCCTAACTTGACCACAACACACTAAATTTCTGCTAGTTTACAGAGCCGGCTCAAGGGGAGTGGGAGGGGGCTGCAAGAGCTGTAGAGCCCCGGGCTCACGGGGATCGAGGTGCGTCGGACATGATCTTTAGCTTTTTTTATAATCAAACCAAGTGTTTAATCAAAAAAAATTAATAACGCTTTTTTTAATTTAGAAGGGCCTGCTTTTTGCATATTGAATTCTTTGACATGGAGTAAAACAGGCATATTTTAGTTATCAAGTTTTAAGCTGTTGTAATAAATATACAACATATTATTTACGAATGTTTTTTATTCTTGTAATGAAACTAATACAAACATTGTATTAAAATTTACAGTAATTACACAATTCCAGTTACAATTCTAAACTTTAATAAAAAAAAATGCAACAATATTTAAGGACACATGCGTATTGAGTCTCTCCATCCACTATCGACTGAAGCCTTATGTCAAACCTGAACTGTACATTGAGTATAAGTTTGGAATCATCTTCAGTCGAGATTTGATTCATTGGTTAGTAGAGGGTGAGGCTTTATTTAGTAACAGTCTACATAGGAACATGTTAATGTTGCCTTAAATAAAACTTTATTTATTCATAATCTTTGTAAATATTTGAAATTTATAAAAATATGCACATCCATATAGTTGAATATACTAGCAATGACAATGAGCCTGATTAGTTTAGTATGCTGCAAAAACCAAAAAATATATTAATGATAAGTATCTAACGTATTTTTCAACAATAGAAAAAACCGTGAAGTTATCTACGTAGATTTATTTACGGCAATTATGTCGATTGTAAAAACAAAAAAAAGAAGAGAAATCAGATTGGATTCTTAGGTTGCTCCATAAATAATATAACTCTAAAATAAAATTCTTCTGAATATTGTATCCATCAATAATAAGGGGACAACCTATTAAATTATGTGAACTAAAAATTATACTTTATTGCGTAAAGTTAGAAATTAAATAAGTCGTTTTTTGGCTTTTATTGGCACAATTCCCTGTCATATTTCCATCTTAGTATCCCGCTATTAAACAAATTTAAGTAAAAATATATTTATTTAACTGTATACAAAATATCTTTCTGCCTTTTAGGGAAACAGCCTGAGATTCTGTCAAGTTCAAGTACACAGAACATTAGTCTTCACATTATTTGATACAAAACATATTAATACTTCCCCATTTAAATTAAGTTACATGTTTTGAGATCTAGCAAATTTATTTAATGCAGCGGCTCTAGTCATTATACCGATATCCGTCTCCAAATATCGGAAAACCGGAGGGATATCTTCTGGGCACTCTTTACTTATAAGTGGTTGTATCTCCTTCCAGGTAAACGCATACAAATTTGTTTTACTATTTAAGGGCCCAAAATCAAGAATGAAGGGATCATCGGGATACGACATAACAATATCAACAATATAATTTTTCCTTGGAAATTTCAACCTTATATTTTCATTATAAAAATTTCTTAACTGGTCAATAATCTGTGGACCTTCCACTTTAAAGTGAGCGTAATATGTTGGCCAATCCCTGGGTGTTATCCCACGTAATACGTTGTTTATAATAATGCACCGAAATTCTGCTGCGGGGTGAATGCTGACCCATTTTCTCAGTGCCAAACAAAACGGAATACCTTTAGTACTGCTGAAGTCTTCCTGTATGGTACCAGAAGTATTAAAATAAAGTATAATATCGTCTATATTGCACGCCTTCAACGAGTTTCCAAAACTGAACATCCTAGCATCTGTAGGAGCGTGCCAATTATTTTTCACAAAAACACTTTTATCTAACGTATTAATTGCGTTTTTTAACTTTTCTTCAAAACTAGCATAGTCTTCTGCACAGTTAACCTCATTCTCACTACAGGTAACTTGTTTAACGAAATGATCCGGCAACTCTATTATAATCGTTTTGAGCGATACGTGTTTAAAGTTCTCGTACCAGCTAGTAATTGAAAAATCTATAAAATCCTTAATCTCCAACATATTAAAAAATATTGTAAATATTTAGAACACAAAAATACACATTGCAAACACAAACGTCAAAATCTAAAGATGTTAAGAAGAAGAAGAAGAAGAAGAAGAAGAAATGAAGAATGGTCATATCACAGACTTTATACAGGTAGATGAGCATGATCCGTTTTAACCACTACCACCATTATATTATTGTTTACCTCTCTCTTTCATGTTCTGCACATGTGAATATTTATTCTTTTTAAGAATGCGAACCTCTCTATGTGATCTTTTTGAATGCTCTATTTAGAATAGTAGAGCATTTTAATGCCTCGAAATTACAACGGGTGCAATTGTTTAAAAAAAAATGAAATATTAACCTAACCTCAAAGAATCAGACTTTAAGAAGTTCAACCATAGAGATAATATTGTGCTTATGGAAGATTATATTACGTTCTTGTTCTCGCTAAGTTGTCCAGTCTGGCTAATAAATACCCCTTCTGTGAAGGCCAAGAAAAGAAGAAGAAGAAATAAAGAATGGTCACATCACAGACTTTATACAGGTAAATGAGCATGATCCGTTTTTACCACTACCACCATTATATTATTGTTTACCTCTCTCTTTCATGTTCTGCACATGTGAATATTTATTCTTTTTAAGAATGCGAACCTCTCTATGTGATCTTTTTGAATGCTCTATTAGAATAGCAGAGAATTTTAATGCCTCGAAATTACAACGGGTGCAATTGTTTAAAAAAAAATGAAATATTAACCTAACCTCAAAGAATCAGACTTTAAGAAGTTCAACCATAGAGATAATATTGTGCTTATGGAAGATTATATTACGTTCTTGTTCTCGCTAAGTTGTCCAGTCTGGCTAATAAATACCCCTTCTGTGAAGGCCAAGAAAAGAAGAAGAAGTCCAGTTCAGGGTCAGGGCAGTATTTGCTTTAATTTGAAAAACAATTTTTTACTTTTATATGTAATTAATGAAGACAACTTGAACTTAAATATTCCGAATTTTCCCTTTTTTAGTTTTCAAAAAAGTTCATATTTTTGTAGTTATTTATAGGGAATACAAAATATTATTTATCCATCTGAATATTATTTATACAAGAAAAATTAAATATTCCGATTTTTACGTTCCAGTTTTATGAAAATAAGTATGTACAATAAAAAGCCACATAAATATTTTTGTAATTATTTGCAATGTTTACTTACCAGCTTATATGATCTTAAAAAAATATGGCACACAGATTTCTGTACATTCAGCCTCCATACAATAATTCACACTTTTTTTTATCGTTCTTTTCAAAAAACAAACTTGTTTCTGAAACATCGTGTATACCGAAAGTTTTCATGAAATACCGGTAATCCACAACTTCAATACAAGTATTGAAAAAATAATATTCCACAATAAAAAACTGTATATATTTCACGTATAGATAAAACAACATAGAAAATGGAAGTAAGTAAATATCTACACTACGTTATTGTCAATCTTTGTATTTAATACATCTATTGTTATTAACTAGGTTCTTGAGTGGTTATGTGTAATGGAATGCGAGTACATAGCCATTCTAATACTTTAGGCCAAATTACGTTTGTCTCGTCGCCACAGAATTCTTTTAAAATACCCTTCTCTCTGTAAAACGTGGCCACGGGTCCAGTCATCTTTTCATACTGTTCCAGTCTTTTTAAGACCACTTCCGGTTTATCGTCGTCCCTCTGAATTAAGGGTTCTCCCGTGACATCATCAACTCCCTAAAAATTGTCGTCACAGATGATGTTGGAAAAATAAACGCAATTTCACAGCCCTACGTTCTGTCTATTATTTTCATTCTAGGGACTTTCCAGCCCACTCTTATATAACAACAGAAGTGTGGTTAATATTTAGAAATTTTGTATGCGAATATTTCTAACAATACGTACATGAACCTTTGGTGGATTAAAACCATCATTGTAAACACGACCACTCGCCAAATGGACCCATCTACCTTTTACCCTGTCAATTATTGCTTGGTACGGTACGAGTAAATTTATAGCTAAGTCCAATTTTTCCAACTCCCATAAAGCTATAGCTTGGGAGAGAGTTCTTGGAAACCCTTTAAAAAAATAGCAATTTTAGTCAAAACCATGTATACAATAAGAGAATAAATAATTAAATGATAAATAATAATGAAAGGAAAATACATTTTTCTTTCATATTTTCAAGTTTTATCAAGATAAGATTATCCAATATGTGGTTGGGTCACACAGTTAATCAAAAGCAGGTAAAAAATTAGTTTTCAATTAATTGTTTTTTCATTCAAAAACCGTTCAATCATGCAAACAAAATTATTTTTATATTTAACGATTTTGGAATATCTGTTCATCAGATTCGTAGTAAGTTGACCAAAGATCAAAGAATGTCGAGATTTAAAGTAAAATAAAATGTAAATGGTCAAACACCGTTGCAGTGACTTTATATAATTACCGTCTAGAAGCCAAGATTCGTCTTCGACCTTTTGCAATTCACATTTTATAAATTTTATCATCACCTCATCTGGCACCAATTTTCCTTCGTTTATATATTTTTGTGCCTCTAGACCAACAGCTGTAATAAAAACAAAGATAATGTTTTATTTTCATTTGTATACTCAATAAACTGGCAACATTATATAAATAAGCAAATTGTCAAACTATTACTGTTTGATAATAAAGCGAGGGGTCCATATCATTTTTTAGGAGCTGATAATTTATTAATTTTATTTTAAATAAAACATATTTTATTAATAGCTCATATTTTTTACTATATTTTATAGTTTTAAAGCAAATTCACATAGTATTTAGTAACGATAAATATTTAAAAAATATTCATTAGAACCAACTTGAAACGTTTAAAAATGTATACAAAAACCTGTTAAATAAATAAATAAAGACGTACATTTTCATTATTTAACTGTCTTGTAAGCAAACATAACCTTATCTAATCTGTCACTGGTTAATGATGTCAGTACAACAAACATCAAATTATGTCCTCTTTATTTACTCAATTTAAGCCAATTAACGTTGAAAAAATTTACGTGGAAAAAAAATCGAAAAGTTTCCCACACTGATTTTTCATGTTGGTAGTGATTGTTGTTTTGCCACCTCGCAAGTTAAATTTGACAAAAGGGTGTTAATAAAATAGGTACAAATAAACAAATTGAAATTTTTAATACGGAAATAAAAGGGTATTTAAAAAATGTTATAGTAATAATTCTTATATATTTACCTGTCTTGTTTTGTATATGCTGCCGTAATTTATCACCACTTGAAATATGTTTTAAATGAAAAACTTTTACAATACGTTGCGATATTGTCCCTTTACCTGAAGCAGGTGCACCAAGTATCACCAATTTAAATATCCTTGCGGCCATAATTCACTAGCAAAATATACTCACGTTTCACTTATTTTGCCTTGATTATTTCTTATTTTGTACATAATAATCCATTTTATTTGTCTTGGAATTATGACCTTTGGAGTATTAATATCTTCAATCTAACTCAGTGGCGTCGAGACTGATATGTGAGAAAAGGATATTCTTGCCATACTCGGTATATTTTACAGTATCAACTTGTAAATTTATAAATTTACAATAATTTTAGAAGACCGTTTTTCAAATAGGTCAGTCAAAATTTTAAACAATAAAAAAATGGGTAACCAAGTAAACAACATGAAATTTGGTTACTTCAATGCGCAAAGCATAAACTCAAAGCATAAACTAATTAGTTACGGAAAAAATTACATTGGTACCCTACCTAAATATAGGTACCTATTACAAGAGCATTTGATTTTTATAGCTTATCAAATAATTAGATATTTGAAAGATGCAAAAATGTTCATTTATAAAATATGGTAAATTTATATAAGAAAATGTACATTCATATTTTATGCAAACATATATTTTCACATTCAATTGATCATAGAATATTAACTACCTAATCTTTTTTTTTACCAATTACTTATTTATATTTAAATTTTATTAGTTGTAAATATATATAAATGTATGGAAATAAGAAATAGTCACGCTTCACTAGGATCCAATTTATCTTTTTTATAGATACCGACAAAATCTATTTTAAAAATTTTAATCTACAAAAACGTTCTAAACCTGATAACATGAATAATCGTCAAAAATACCTCAATATCACTAAATAAAAATACTACTTTACTATTTATTTGTAGGTAAAAGAACTAAAAAATAGTGCTGTACTGAATAAACTATACCTAAGGTTAACTAAATAATGAATGTTTTAGTAATTATTTCATTTTAAAATCAATATTTCTCCTATAATTCCCCATCGGAAATAGAAATGTCTAAAACATTATATTGGAATTATTAAGAAAAAATACTGATGTCGTAAATACAGATTTTATCAGTTAAAAAATGATGGCAAAAGTATTGCAAGTTATATAGATAGGTACAAATAAGTATATTAAAAATCTAAACATAGGTACCTAAAACAATTCAATTACCTACCATATTCCATAGTGAATATGGAAATATATTTAATATGTACGCTTGTGGGAATTGCTTAATTTAAGCAGTTCTTGTTTTGATTGTTATAGAACTAATTGATAAGAAATTTTTAGCTAAACCAAGCAATGAACATTGTATTATTTCAGTGAACATGTCATTTTCGGTTAAAAACATATTTCAGACATCTACTGCTCTTGGAAATACTATTTGGGTGAGTACATTAATTTTCAAAGGTTATAGTGCGATTTCCTAAAATGTTCATACATTCGTTTTCTGTGACATACGATTACGGAATACGGTACGGTTGTTAATATATAATGAATATTTTATGTCAACGGAATTTTTTTTGTAAACTGAACTTACAATTTTTGATGTTAATTGCATGTTTTTGTAATTTTTATTTCAAACGTTTGAAACTTAGTATATACATCGTATAATTATGCAATAGGTCAACGAGTTTACAACAGTATTTGCAATATTTGTAACAATCACAAATTCACATCGTATTTGCGACGGTTTGTTAAACTTTTTTTACATATAGGGTGGCACAAACTATTTTAGATGTACTAACCACTAACCTATAACATATAACTTATGTACGTGTACAGGGTGCTTCATTAAGAATGAGACAGGGCTTAATTGGAAATACCGTAGCTCAAACTAGGCTGATTAAGTAAATAAATTTTAGCGATATATCAAAATCGAAATGAAAATGTATTTATTGAAAATTAAGTAAATATGATTTCTAGGACAAGAATTTCGAAAATATAGTAGGTATTCGTTTTTTTATTCAAATCAAAATATAAGATTCTAAAATAAGTTATTTTGTTACTTTTGCAATTCAATGGATACTTATGTTTCGTCCAACGTGCAATGAAGGAATAAATTATTTCTAAAAATTATTGGAAAAAGTCTGCGTTGGTATGAAAAACTGCTCTTATCAAGTTTTTATAATTTTTGGTCTACAACAAAAAAGTTTGGGTCAAATTTGCTCCACCAAAAAATTGTGTGCAGTGAAGTGTGACTAGCGCCCTCTACTAATAAGCTCAATATATATATTTGAAATTCTTACAATAAAAACCATAACTACTGAAGATTCAAGTTGATTAGTGCAATGGTTTTCGAAATACTATCAAAATCCCAAATAAAACATTGAAACATGAAATTTTTGACAAATAAGACCAAATTTTTTTACCATTTCTTTAACAAATCTTTAAGATTTAACACAGCCTTACAACAGATTTCAACCAAAGCGGAAAACTAAGAAAAATAAACTTTTTAACTACACTAAAAGGCCAATAATTTTTAAAGCGCTTTTAAATCAGGTAGCTGGCTGTTATTAACCCCCTAATAGTAATGTATGACCTATATTTCAGGAAAGGTCCAACAAAAAATGTTTACGTTATAATGCCTCAATACTCAACCAAATGCTAGCAAGACAAATCCACCTCTGCTGCAATTTGGCCGCTAGGGTGACTTTCAAGTTGGCAGACATTGGTGAAGGCATTAGAGAAGTAATGGTTAAAGAATGGTATGTGAACGTTGGAGATAAAGTAAGTCAGTTTGATAATATTTGCGAAGTCCAAAGCGATAAAGCTTCTGTGACCATTACCAGCCGTTACGATGGAACTATTTCGAAACTGTATTACGCCGTTGATGATGTAGCGTTGGTAGGAAAGCCTCTTGTGGATATACAGACAGACCAGGCAGGTAAAATTCTGACACGGTTTTATATATTTTCATTTTAGTAATTGAAAATACCCAGAATTAAGACAGTTAACTAAGGTAGAGATACATGTTTATTCATATCGAATATGCTAGGAATAATATAAGCTCTGGAAAAGAAAGATTTGGAATGTGATGGCTTTGAAATGAAAATGCAACTCAAAATACACTTATTCTTGAATACACTTTTGAGGAACACGTAGATCCAAATCCCTTTAGTGTACTTCAGATTTTCTTTAATTCATTGTTTCCCCTTTGGTAATACAATATTTTATATTGATTATATAAACTGTTAATTTTTAGATGAGATGCAGCCACAAACTCTATCTACTCAGGATGAAGAAGTCCAAGAAAATGAACCGAAAAAAAGTGAAAAGGACGAACTTGCGAAATATTTAATTACGAATGGTAAAAAGTTATTAGCTGTAATGAAATTCTAATTCGTATAAAGCATTTTTTTTATTAATTTAGAATATATGAAAAAGAATTTAATCCATATGGTTTTTGTCAGCTTAAGTTCTTTTTAATTAGAGAATATAAAATGCCATATCAAACTCATGAACATATTTTTGAGTTACAGAAGTCTTGCAATCAACAGAAGAACAAACATCAATATGCATACCTTCAGTTAGAAGATTAGCCAAGGAACATAAGGTAATTCCACAAAATCGACACCACTTTTCAAAAGTCTCTTTTGTGGATAGAAATATTATTTTCCTGCAGTGATTTTGGAATCCGCGATCAAATAAAAATGAATTATATTATGTCCTTTTCAATTATCATTATCCTCTCACCCCCCTGTATAAAATTTGCATTATCCGAGAAAAAGAAATGGAACATTCTTTATCTTTGAAAAAGTAGGTTTCAACAACAATTTTTTTTGTGACGATGATCTTTTATCTCGTTTAGAAGATATTAAAGATAGAAGGTATTAAAAAAAAATCATTCTCAACAGGGCATTTTTGTTAGAATTCAGAATTCACTCTTAGCACTCTAACGAGCAATCAAGTAGTTCTGCAGTTGAATTAAAATACGCTCTGTAGTATTTGCCCCGTGCTATAAATGCATTATTTTCAAATTGTTATGTTACAGATAAACCTTTCGTTGATTAAAGGAACTGGGAAACATGGTAGAATACTGAAAGAAGATATTTTGGAATACATAACAAAAAAACCTGAAACAAAACCTGTCGTTCCGTTGGAAGATAGAGTCGAACCTATAAAAGGTTTCAAGAAAGTGATGGTTAAAACAATGACAGAATCACTGGTAGACATAATTAACATTTTACTACTGACATGTTTATAAAAATTCTTGTTGCAGAAAATCCCTAGCCTCATGTACGGCGATGAAATAAAAGTGACGAAACTATCAGAACTCAGGAAATCACTTAAGGACCTTTCGGAATTGGAGAACATAAAGCTATCGTTTTTGCCTTTCTTCATCAAAGCTGTCTCTAACGCTTTACAGCGTTATCCGATAATAAACGCTAGCGTTGACGAGAATTGTGAAAATATAACATATCATAAGAACCACAACATTGGAATTGCTATGGACACGAAGGTTGGGCTCGGTGTACCAATTATAAAGGGTGTTGAGAGTTTAAGTATCATAGAGATCGCGAAAGAACTTAATCGTTTAATACAGTCAGGAAGAGATGGATCTTTTTCACCTAATGATATGGTTGGTGGGACTTTTTCTGTATCAAATATCGGAGCTGTAAGTACTTACATGAAAACAAAATAATAATTGTCTCGCTTAAGATTAATTCTTCCGCAATTCTGGTAGCAGCAATAATACAAAAAGAGGGTTTCAAATAAACGTTGCACAAAATCAATATTTTAAGTGCCTTGTAATTATTTTTGCCAAGTATGGAAATTTTAATTACAGATTGGTGGGAGCTATATGCAACCAATTATTTTACCTCCTCAAGTGGCAATAATCGCTCTGGGTGCTTCCCAGGTAAGTAACATCTATTGTTATTACATAAATTAATAAAAATATTACTAAGGCCTCAAGAAAAATACAAAGAAACACATATGTGACAATTTTAAATAACACACAATGCAGAAGATTTTCATGTCTTTCTGCATATGTAGATTTTTAGAAAATATTGTTGCCATGGAAATGGTTAAAAAAAAATTACTATAACTTGTAACAGTTGTGCATGGACCTTATAAAGTATACACATTGATCTGCATCGATATATCCGTCCAAAAAATGTCAAAATATACTGTGACAGCCACATGCCTTTGTAACGATAAACTATTTTGTCATAGGCACTGCCACGTTTTGATGAAAACAAGAATGTCATATCCGAAGAAATCGTTAATATCAGTGCAGTCGCTGATCATCGAATAATAGATGGTGCTACAATGGGCAGATTCACCCAGATTTTGAAGAAACAAATTGAAAACCCCTACTTATTGTTTTTAAATCTGTAATTTTTCTGGGAGCACATTAAAGTTATATGAAAATGACGATTAGTGTTAAAACTTCATTCTCAAAATAATAAAATATTTTTTTAAATTTACTTACCTGCTACTTAGCCAACATTCTTGTCTTTTATTATTCCATTTGCAAATAACATATGTAGGTAGTAGTAAAATAAATATTTTCAGTACAGTATTAATTATTTTCAAATAGTTGTCCAAAAATATGAACACTAAATTGAAACATTTCGAAAATGGGTTATATTGCCGAGATCAGCTGTTTCTGTTGACAAATAGGTAGATCAAATAGCCCCCTTCCTTATCACAAGATTGCTCCAAGATGTACTGCCCTCTATACGGTGACATTTGCGAGTCAAACGAACAACTTTTCAACATTTTCATTTTATTAAATTGTTAAGTATTTTCATTAATGAACCTCCATGTATTCAAAGTGCATTTGTTAATGTATAACCTCATAAAGAAGATTTATTACTGTATTTCTATGGATTGCCAGTACTTAATTTAAAGTTGGCATGAACACTGGCACTCAATTGACGAAAAAACGTCAGCTGGTGCCAAATGAAAAATAGACTGCACACTGGACAGAAATGGCTGCTCTCTGTCCGGGTGTTCAGTATGGGTTATCTTCACAGCAAAATTTTGGTGAAAATAAAGACTTAATTTTTGTGAAACTAACGGATTCTGCTTTACGTGCAATCGAAGAATATATAAAAAATCAGGTGAGTTTTTAATATTTTAATTAGCATATCTTAGAAGTAATACAATCTGTTGCCTTCAACATCGGTAGTCGCCATATTCAGATGACTTATTAACCTATTATATTTTATTTTCAAAATATGGTTGGATTTTTAAGCATTTCTATGGATTTTATCATGAACCGTACATCTAAACCTGCATTATTTATTAATTTAATTTTGATATTTTTTGCTATTAGGCTCTAGCCACGTCAACATATTGGAAAGTTTTATTCGTTTCAAATTTGAATTTGCAAAATAAATCGTTTGAAATATGCAGTGTATCACGGAAGTATTTTTGAAAATTCATTTCTCCAGGTTGTGTTGCAATTTCTAGTGTTATTGATCAATTTACAGTTGACCATACAAGGATATACGAATAGTGTCACATTTTAAGAAAGTTGTAACTCTGAAATCCGTAGAAAAACAAGTAGGTACTTACTTTATCAGGCTTTTAAATTTATTTACCTGTTAATTTATTAGTATTTTCTTAGATGTGGTTAACTTTCTTACCTTCTAAGTTAACCCAGTGGCAAATTATGAAATAGAATTTGTGAATTAAATGCGATGCGAAGTGCGATATAACTTGCGTTACATTTCGGTTGTTTCTCTATTTTTTAAATCTGGGTTAGTTCACGTTTTATTTTTACTATTAAGTAGCAAGTATCCTGTTCGTCGAATATACGAACACTAAAAATATCACCAAATTTTAACATAAACCGTGATTTCCCAAGACTTTTCCATATTTATACGTACCTAGAACAAATATCCGTGGTCTTGGCATACCGAACAAATTTATTTTGACACGAATTACACTTTAATTTAAATTATTTGCAGTTTGTTAATCATTTGCAAATAGCACTATAGAAATATCAGTAATATGACCTTCACAGGTTAAATTGTGTGTATAAAAATATCTGAAATCATAAAATGATTTATAAATTTTATTTACAGTCGCGTTATATCACAAATGTTTTTGAAATTTAAGCTAAAAAATATCTTGTTCTATATACCTACTCGTATAAATTTTGTTGGAAATCTGGTAGGATAAGAATATATTGCATTTTGATATTTGTTAAAAATAACAAGAATATTAATATGATTGGATTCTGCTTTTATTGATACTCATATCAAAAGTAATCTAACAAGTTTTCATCTTCACAAGGTTAAATCATCGTATCATAAACTAGACTAGAAATTATTAATATGCATACCCATAATAAGACAAATAATTAAATATTATGACTGAGTAATCATTAAAAAAAATATTTCGTTTATAATAAAGTATAGCTGTTTTGCTTAAGACTGTTGCTATGGATCTAGATTTGTACCAGGTCCCTACAAAAGTGATTAAACATTAACTACATTTTTTGGCAAAGAAACGCAGTTATATTTCTCGTTCATTTTTCAAATGAGCTACCATTCCAATTTTCTGCTCATTAAAATAAAACGTGCGCTGGCTGGTCGCGTTTGATAATTTCTATTGACTGCCTAGGTACTTACGTATTTGAGAAACGTTTGGCCAAAAAATAAAATTCGCACAGCCACAATCAGTATACCTAAAATTCTATTTCTGACTTTTTTCTCGTAATGTAAACGTAATAATTCTCACGGTAAAAATAGATTCGCGAAATTCCTAAGGTAGTCTACATCGAAAATAAGTTGCTGGGCGTATATGTGTATGCACTAGAGCCTATCTCATTTATTATCATGTACCTTATACATATGAATAAGGTGAATATTTCTTATGATTTATGACTAACTAACATTTAATAATCACTAAGCTAAGTTCATTTTAAATTAATTTTTTTAAAAAACCTAATTAACTGAGATACAACTTGATTCTACTGAATATCATGCGTTCTGGAGACAATGACGATGATAAATGTAATACACTTATGTAATTGTTGGGTTTAAACTTGGATTGAAGATTAATGTAAATATAAAGATGTAATGTAAAGATACAGATCAAATTTTATGCAATATTATTAATCATTAAGTCTTTTTTTTAAATATAATAGCCTTTTAGATGTACTTGTTGAACCATTTTACGATGATCAGTGGGTATTCCAAGGAATGTGAAAAAATAGCTCGGCTTAAGAAGAATCACTTGAAATTCCGGTGATTCAAAAACTATTAATTTGCAATACAGATTTTTTATAAAGGCTTGAAGTTTAAATTTAAGTTATAGGCGTCCTAGTCTGAAAACGGCGCTGATTTTAATTTCGGAAATAAGAAAAAATCCCATGGAACCAGATCTGGCGAGTAAGGAGGGAGGGAGGAAGTAATCCGATTTGTGGCACAAAATTCTGAGACAAAGGACCATGAATTGTCTTGCCACTTCTCTGGTCTCTTTTTTGCAAATTTTTTCAAGTAACTTTTAAAACGCCTTGATGGCACACATTGTTCACTGTTCACCTTGAGGCAAGAATTGAAAGTGCACAATTCCATTAAAGTAAAAAAAAAAAAACAGTAAGCATCAGTTTGACTTTGGATCGAGACTGACATGCTTTCTTGGGACGTTGAGATCCTTTGCTAATTCAATGTGATAATTGAACTAGGAATTTTGCTGCAACTAGATGCATGTTCAATTTTTCACTCAAAATTTCATGGCGTGAGCCAATTGAGATGCTAACCTCTTCTGCATTTCTCAGACAGTCAATCGGCGATTTGCACGCACCAGATCTTTGACTTTTTGAACGCGGGAGTCATCTAGTGAAGTCGAAGGTCTTTCTGGTTGAGGATCATCTTCTATTGATTGACTGACGACCACTTTTAAATTGTGAAAACCATTCGTAACGACTCGAAGCATCATCTCCGTAAGCTTGTTTCAAAAGATGAAACGTTTCTAGAAACTTTTCCTCAGTTTCCCGCAAAATTTTACGTCGCTTATTCAAAAAGTTCGGTTATTTTCTAAACAAACCTCGTACAATAACACAATATAAAAGAAATATTTTCATAGAATTACAGATTAATAGAATTTTAAATAACAAAATTAATAGCGTTAAGTGCAATAATTTAATTCGTGAACATGAAATTAATTGTTTTGATGATATAACCCCTCTTTTAACCCATACTTTTAGTTTATAACGAGGATTTATTTTTCAAATGATTAACCTTTAGCAATATGGAAAGTGTCATATGTTCTATTGTTTTTTTTTAATTTATCTTAAACCAATTAAATTGCTTAAAAATAAGTTTATATTTATGGTTCTTCAAGGATGTAGTGTTTAGACCACCACGAAATTTTATTTTTTATTTAATTTTGTTTATGATCGAAACTACAAAGATCTTTATAATTTATTTAAAATTGGTTTGCGTAAATTTGCTGGTGGCTACAGCAGTCAAGGGTTATCAGAAATAGTCAAAAAAAACAAACGAGTTATACTCATATTGTTGACTATAACGTTGACTAAAAAATAAAATCTACCTATTTTGTTGATACATGTAACATCAATTTTGTCTGTTTTCTTTTTACTTTTTTTATCATGTATGTACATCCTTAGAAAATAACATTTTTGGAGGTAAATAAGTATTATTTCTGAATGTCAGACAGCATATTAATTACTCTATAATATACGATGTTTATAATACATAAGTTATTTTAATCCTTATTATATTCAGTTTTAGAACTCGAATTTCGCTTTAATCCATATAAGATTTGAGAATAAATTATGCATAATTAATTTCGCATCTAAAGCAAATTAATTAGGATATTTATAGGTTGTAAAAATAATTCGTCTTAAATTTGAATTATATTATAAGTTTTCCGCATACTTATACCAACATTTGTACAATAATTTCAAATCAGAATTGAAAAACAATAAATTATATGCCCATTATTCTTTGTAACTGATAATATACATTCGTCATTAGGCACACTTTGTTAGGTGAATAACAGTTATCGAATATTTGGAAGCATATTACTGTGAAAATAATAAATAATAATCATAAAGTATAGAAAGTTTATGTAAATATACAAATTTAATCGACATATGTTTTTTTCTTCTTTCGACTTGTGGACCTAATCATTTTTATACAGAAAAATATTTGTTACGGTTCGCTATCACTTTTAATTATTCTTGTTGGTTACTAATACCGCTTATCACTATCAGAATGTGTAAATTAAAGAAAACCAAGTGGAACTTTGAACAACTTTAAATGCGGTTATATCAACTTTTTTATACAATTTTTAGGTTATTTAATAATAGCCCGTATTTACAACTAATGATGCTAATAGACTATTTTTTTTGTATGTAATGCCAAGGATCGGTTAATAAAAATAGATATTTTAAATATAAAATACATTATGAAAATTTATACTCGTGAAAATTAAAAAATTGTAGTATGCAAAATTGCTTCCCTATCGTATGACTTGACCTTAGTTGTAAACAGCTCCTGTAGAGTAGCAAATCTCTTCCCAAATTTATAATAAACGAATAAATGAATAAGATTAAAATTTATTGTAACCAGCTGAACAGACTTTCCACAAGTTCTGCAGATTTTTTTTTTACGTACAGGGATCAGATAGAAGGAAAGAAGAGAGAGATCGACAAGAGTTTTTGTCCGATCTTTTTACATAACATTTATTCGATGGCAGAAAAAATATTGTATGCAATTGGTACGTAAAGTGTTTCTCTTATTCTCACTTGTTATTTGAAATACCTGTTGCATACATATTTGTTTTCTTTTCACCTGTACAGCGTTTTCTATATAATAGAAATACATACATCCCTTAGGCTAGCGCGGGAGGGAAAGGGTAAGGAGGGTATGGGGGGATGTGTACATAAAGGGCACAAATACAGCCGCACTAGTCCACCTGGCCATAAATTCGGTTGTCAACAAATGGCCTAGCAGTGCAGTGCAACAATCCGGAATTTGACGTCATGTCTAGAAATCTGAATTTCTAGACATGACGTCTATCCGTCGCTCTGAATTACCGATTTGGTAATGAACCAAGTCCCGACTGGTAGGCGTTTTATAAT